TCTCCAATTAGACACTGTCATGAACTCCACCCAGGGGCCATTTCCTAGCATAGTACCTCAGGTTGACATATTGCCCTGGGGACCCTGGAGAGTCAGAGAACTCTGTAATGTTCAGACCAACAGGCTGGGTGCCTCAGCAGTTGAAATCTGACAGTGAAAGCTGGCAGCTACAGCTATAGATCCATGACTTTGACACTAAAAATCACCTGTGGTGGTAGCGGTAATAGTGACACTTCCTCTTTGTGGAGACCTAGGCTTGGTCACCCCACTGATGGAGTGTCTTTCTGTGATTCACTCTCCCCTCTGGAAACACTCCCACAAATACAGAGCATCTCAACCCTTCTCCTATCTGCTAAGTCAGTGAGGCCGACAATGGAGTTCACCGTCACTACCCCTTACAGTTCTGTCCTCTGTGTTTTAACTGACAGTGCCTACTATAGAGTAAACACAGCATGGAGACAATGCTGAGATGAAAAACACACCTTGCACTACAGATAACACTCACAGCCTCCCCACCCCTGCCCCACCATACCCTCCTCTTCCAGTAACACCCCATTCCCTTTTCATGTATCACGTCCTGTTGTCCTTCCTTATCTCCGTCTTACACCCTCTCTCCCATTTCCTGGGCCTCTTGTTATTTCCTGGCTTCTCCCTGCTCAAGATATTTGATTACACTGTATAAAGATGTGTCACTGCGATTGGTTTAATAAAAAGATAAACAGCCAATAGCTAGGCAAGAAGTATAGCAGAGACATCTGGACACAGAGAGCTCTGGGCAGAAGAAAGGTGGAGTCGTCAGACTTGCAGGAGGAGAAGTAAAAACCACAAAGCTAGTTCTCAGCTCAGGAGGGCTCATGTTCTTGTCCAATAAATCCTTCAGTGAAGTGTACTGAGTGAGACAGAATCTCAGTCACTAAAGTACAGATACAACACACTCTCTTAGGTGTGATGTCTCGGACCACATTGTGAAGGCTCGGACCACATCTGGACAGCCCTGGTAAAGAGCAGTGTTCAGTGGATGGAGAGCCATTCCTGCAGTATGATGACAACAGAGCCACACCGTTGGGAGACCTGGGGAAGGCAGTAAATGCTACTCAGGTTTCGACAGATTTTGTGCAAAAGCTGGAATACTTAGGGCAAGAGCTCAGGAACATGCTGGCTAACACCAAACTAGGGTCAACCAAGATCAGTGGTGAGAATGGGATTCAGTGCAGAGCCAGAGACAAGCAGAAAGGCAGAGAGGAAGAGAGAGGAAGTACAGGGGACATGTGGGAATGAGATGTTAAAATATATCTATGTGAAAGAGCTGAGCAGTGGTCCAACCTTGGAAGCATGTAGTACCCAGTGGGTAACAAAGGGCAAGTCATATGGAAATGATCCTGGTTCATAAGCCAGTGGGAAAGTCCTGACCTTTGGAGAAGTGATGGATCTATGAGAGTGAAGCAGGATGGTGTTGTGTGTGGTTTGCAGGTCAGCCCTCTTTACAGGCCACCATGCTTTCTCAGTATGAACACGGAAAAAGTGTTTTTGCCTCCTGGAGATTTAACATCAGTGGAAAGTACTCCTTCATCTTCAACACAATAAATATAAATTGGACACTGATTGATCGAGAAGCTGGTGGTATCATGAATAAATGGAAGGAAGATAAACAATTAATAAAAGATCTCCAGACAATATCCATAGCATACTGCAGTCACTGTCTCAACGAACTCTTAAAGTACCAGAAGGAAAAGCCTAGTAGGTATTACCTAGGTTATCAGAAGGCAACTCCATCACATTTGATAGACTGGGTGGGTGATTTCTTGGTGGTTTTCTTGTCTGAGTTCCACTGATTCCCACAGGATTTCTCTATCTCTCCTCACCTCCCAAAGTTTCTCATTCCCTACTAACCAAGGGTCCGGGCACTGCATGGGCAGCTAATGGGCTCCAAGTCTGCATGCATCACTGCAAACCGCCAGCCTTTTCTGGCTCACTTATAGCTGCCCTTCCACCAGCTCCACATCACTTTGAGAGGCTTCACTATCTTTGTCTGGCACAATGAAACATCACCAATAGAGCCACCATCCAGAAAGTCCTAACCAAAGTAAATGCATTATATTGTTTGATGGTTCCAGAGATATTTATTTTCTTTGGTAACGAAATAAACTCTGCAAAGACATCGCACACAAAACTGTATTTATTCCTTTCACTACTCAGGACCTTATACATGGTTATTGCACATGAGTCCCTCTGGCTGCCTGGAGAGAGAAGGTGTTGATGGAGGTGTGTTTTTAACTTTATCCAGAATTTTCCGGATTTTTCTCTAAGAACCAACATCAGGGGCCCAGATACCACCCAGCTTCTGTCTACCAGTTAGTTCTTCAGTAAGGAAGAATCTGCTACCATCACAGCAGTAGTCAATCCCTGTCATCATCCCCTCTGTCATTATTTGCCTTTGCATTTACAAGTGTGTGAAGAGGAAATCTCATCCCCAAGGAGGTAAGGAGCAGGCTGGGGTCTCACTCTGGTTCTTGGTAGGGTTAGTCTGCTCAGGACATGGAACAGGTGTCCCACTGGGTATCAGGGATGGGAATTCCGGTCTTCATGCTTCTATAGCAAGGGCCTTACCCACTGAGCCATCCTCCCAGCCCCCAACACTGACCTTTTGTCTGGTTACCAGTTCAGTCTACTGTCTTTTGCTCAGACAATGAGAACTGAACGCAACAAGCTTCTGAACGCATCACTTGCATGCACTCCTGTCATGGCCCTGAGAGGGACCCTTACCATGTACTCATCTCAATCACAACTGCAAAGGTGTTTTTGCTCAGTCAATTAGGACTGCCCATCTACTCTTTCTGCCTTGCTTCTCTCTGTGCCACATGCACCTGAGAGACTGCTGACCCCAGAAATTGGTCTTTCTGAGAAGGGCTTGGGTGGTCTGTACTCAAAATCCCCTTCCTTTTTCAGGGGTCATGGGACATTGAGATATAAGTTAAGCGGTGGCTTGCAGACTTCTCTGTTGGTGTACAGGGATAATTACTTTCATATTCATAGTCTGGAGCTTTGGATCTCACTGCAAAACCTTTCCAGACAGAAATCTTTAGCTGCCAATGAACTGTCCCATCTACTGTTACAGGCCACAAAGGAAAGACAGTCCCATGGAATCTAATAGAGAGTTCCACAGCCAGGCCACCAAAATGTTGTCCCAGGAGGATAAGCCTAAGGCATGAAGGTAAAAGCAGTCACTAAACCAGAATCTACATCCCCACATCCAAGCATCAGGACACCACTTACAAGAGGGGGAAGAAAGGATGTAAGAGAACCCTGTGTTCCAGCCATAACATGACTGCTGCACTGCTGAACTCTCAGCACCTTTGAGCACTTGCATGATCCCTGTAAAGAGTAGGGCTGTCAGCCTTCCCTTCATGGAGAGATAGGGGCTCATGAGGCTCCAGAGCTTCCTGAGAATCTATCTGTAGTTAATGGTGCTGGAGCAGAAGAAGCATTTTGTTCAGTGGAGTGACCTCTAGTAAGAAGCCCATGTTGCTACCAATAACTCCTCACCCTTGCATCTATAAATAACCCCAAATGAAATCATGTGGCCCCCAGTTTTTTTAAAAGTAGAGGGAGAGAATTTGGGATGAGAAAGCAGCTAGAGAGAGTGGGAATGGGGCATGAGAAGAAAAAGAAGGGTTGATATGAACAAAATACCTTATTCACATATATGAAAACAGTTTCTATGTGTCATTAATGTGCTATGTGCTAATGTGCTGTTTAAGATTGTTTGGTTTTTAATATGTATGAGTATTTTCCTATGTGTATGTGTGTATGTAACATGTGTACCCGGTACTTGCAGAAGTGAAAAGAGCATCAGATCCCCCAGAACTGGAAACAATGTCTCAGAATTTTAAAAAAAAAATCAAACACATTGTTAAGTCATCATTTGTAGCCATGTCCTATTGAAGCTTGGTGAGAGGGACTCACAGGTCCTCCTAACAGAGATGCTAGGTAATATAGCAATAATGAATAAAACTGGTAAATGTAAAGTATGTGCTGGATAGTTTTATGACAACTTGGCAGATGTCACCATACACAATTTCACTGACTACTTCACATACTGAACCAGCACCCAGTTCACCAACCTTACATCCCCTTCCTCCGTCCTCCCGCCCAGGAAACTATCTCCTCCTCAATCAGCTGGCATTGCATGCCCCTGCCTGGACACACCCTGGAAATTCATCCATTCTTACCCATAAAACCTAAAGCAGGGGATAGCAGGCAAAGTTTAAATCACATATAATCTGCCAGTGGTGCTGAGTGGGACATAAGGAAGTCTCTGTTCTGTCCCCTAGCCTCCCCCCCCCATCTAACTCCTGAGCAAACAGTAGCAGATAACGGTGTTCATTTCAGCAGACATTACATAGCTTTTATTTAAGGAACAGATATAATACTTACAACTTGGGAAGCCACTCCCTACCTGGCACTACATTAAACTCTATTGCAACTTCAGTACGAAAGCAGCTCAAGAGATTAGGGGACAATAGGAGACCATATTTGGCCTCTGTACTCATCATTTGACCCCAGATTAAGTAACATCCTGTAGGGCACGAGGACGGGTGGCAGCAGAGGAGGACAGAGGTTTCTGCTACTTGTTTATGGTTGCCCGCTTTGGCCAGGGCCATCCAGTCAGGTGCGCATTGCTCAGCCTGCGCCCGCACTTCCGCGCTCAGGAACTGCTTTCTGGTGCCGGCTTCCAAGTAGGGCCCCTTGGGGACGGCATTGGGGCGGGGAAGGTGGAGGCCCCCGGGGGGAGGCGGGTGTGTGTGGAGATTGGGAAGTTCAGTATCCTCTGCGCCCCTGCCAGCCTCCGACTGGAGGAGGAGGCAAACTTGGGAGAGCTGCTTGCAAAGTTGCTCGCTGGCAGAGGGAAAACTTTAATCACTTCCTGAGGGTGGAAAAAAGGGGGGGGTGGGTGGGAGTTCTGTGGTCACGCGATCGTTGTCCGTCGCACAAACGTGAAAGTTGACCCGACCAGTGGCTTGCTCCGTGATAGCCAGGGTAAGAGATCTAGTCGCATTGCCTGATCGCGTGGGTCAGGGTTCTTGCCCCACCCTTCCACGGGGGACACGAAGGTAAACGTCGCTTCGGTTTTCCTTCTCTGTCCTGCAGCTTCCTTTTCTCTCCTCTTTCTCCTCTTTCTCCGTTGATTTTTTTCTTTTGGGAGTGGGTGGGGGGCGCGGAAAAAACGGAGTTTCTTTCTTTATGCAACTTCCTCCAGCGCCCTTTGGAAGGCCTTTCGCCCCCAACCCCCCCCCCCCCCTTTTACAACAACGAATCTGGACTTTTCCTATGTAAAAGCCTCTTCTAAAACAGGGAAAAAAAATCATTCATTTTTTTTTCTGACGAGTGCTTTGTCTGTGTGTGATTCTCTGCATTGTGTGTGTGCAGTGACCATGGAGGCCAGGAGCCTACATGGAATCCCCTGGAACTTCAGTTCCCCAGGTTGTGAGCTGCTGTGTGAATGCTGGGGATCCAGCCTGGGTCCCCAAAGAGTAGCTGAGGCTCTCACACTCTGAGTCCTCTCTCCAGACCCCCAGAAGCTGCTTTTAATTGTAAGAAGTTTATTTATTTATTTATTTATTTGCAGAACTTTCCAAAATGTCTTAGGCTCCAATGTCACAGAGTAAAGGGAAAATCTCAGCCTTGCTGACAAGATAACAATTGTCTACATTAGAGAGAGAGTAAAAGGAAAGAAATGGAAGGGGTGGGGGATAACTAGGGAGGGTCAGGGTTGGGTGACTGTGTGGCAAACAGAGAAGACAAATACCATGTGGGTGCAGGAGAAGTGATAGGAAAGGGACCTACAGTGGCAGATGAGTCTGAGAGAGAAACTTGAGAAAGAGGAAGTGAGGAGGAGCAGGAGGTCTGAGGGAGATTCAGGGTGTGTGTGAAGTTGTAGCAGAAGCAGAGGGGACTGCTAGAACAGTGATTCAGAGGCACCTAGTTTGATGAGGACAGGAATGCCAAGCAATACCAGAGGGCATGGTTGTGTGCATGGACACCGCACAGGGCTTACACTGTCCCAAATAAATTTATCTGCATTTCCCTGAGGTCTGCAGAGAAGCAGCCCAAAGCATAGATGAGTTTCCTGGTTCTGTTTCCCATGGTCCCTGAGGGCACAGCTGCCAGTGAGTGAGAGGAAGGGTCCAAGGATGTGGAGCCCAGGACAACAGTGACCTCACCTCTCAGTTCACATGGCTCCCTTCATGCACCTACGGCCACAAGGACCTTGGTTCTCTGGTAGGGAGTGTCTGAGCCCCAGGGCCAGGGAGGAATCCCCTAAGAAATGTAGGAAAAAACTGGAATGGCTGGAGCATGGAAAGACCTGAATTGACAGCCCAGGTATCTGGGACCTTTGAGAATCTCTGCTCAGGGTCCTCTGTAGGGCGGTACTGAGGTCTCCTGGGTTCTCTCCACAGCTCCAGTCACACCTGTCTGTAGCCAGGTCTCAGGAAGGAACCATGGCAAAGCCTCGCAACTCCCTGAGAAATCGTTTTCAGAAGCTGAGCCTTTTGGTTCTCCTGATCTGTCTGAGGACCAAGCAGCTGGCTGGTGAGTTCCCAAGGTCTAAGTGGAGGGTGACTGGGGAATGGGAACAGAACCTGGCTCTGAGTCAGGAAGTGTGCAGTATGCCTAGGCTAGCTAGAAGCTCCTGGGCTTCTCCTTCTGCTCTTCACCACTGCAGTGCCCAGTCTCTCCCTGGCACTACCCCCACCAGGATTTGGTAGATTAAACAAGTTAGGGGGAAATTGAGGGCAGGAGGGCAGGGCAGGAGATAAGTTAATGAAGAGAGCGGGGTGGTGACAGAAGGGAAGGCTTGGTGGCATCCTCAGCACCACTGTGGTCTCAGGAAACCTGAAATCCAGTCACCTGGACCAGGTGTGCTAGGCACAGTTAAAGACACCACCAGGAGGAGGTCTCGCACACCTCCCCTGGATCTAAGGTGGTCTATGCTCTGAAGACTGCCTTCCTGGGATTCTTCACAAGCTCTCCACCGTTCTGGGACCTCTTTGTTCTTGAACTTTCTTTCTTACATTTCTAAGGTATTCTCCAGAAGATGGCAATAGATGTTTCCAGGGACAAGACAGCTGCAAACACACACATTCATACTTTCCCCTTCTTATTTATTTTTATTATTGTTGTTCTCTTTTAATCAGGATTTTATACTATAGCCCACACAATAAAAATTTCAACAATCCTTCCTCTTCCTCAGTTTATCAAATGCTAGGATTACAACTTCGTGCCACTGGGCTCAACTTCAGTTCCCATGAGACTAACAACCACCATCACTATTACAGCAGGGAGCATGGCAGCAGGCAGGCATTGTGACTGAAGCCGCAGACTTAGAGCCCACATATTTTAATTCAATTTGTTCTGATATGATTTGGTTCAGGTTTTTGAGACAAGGTCTCACTGGCTGTCCTAGAACTCACTACGGAGAACAGGTTGGCCTCAAACCCAGAAAGATCCACCTGCCTCTGCTTCCCATGTGCTAGCATTAGAGCCCTGTGATACCATGCTCAGCTGAAAGCCCACATCTTAAACCTCAAGCATGGTCCAGAGATGAAGAAATGGGAATGGCTTTCAAAGTCAAAGTCCCAGCATCATACTTCCTTCAGCCAGCCATAACTTCTGAACCTGTCCAAGCAGCTGCCACCAACTGGGAACCATGAATTCAAACATCCTACTTTGTAAAGGACAGGCTCATTCAAACAACCACACCAGACATTCACGATAGCATCTCAGGGTTGGTATCTGAGTGACAGGAAGTAATGAAACAATACAGAAAAAAATGAGTACACTTGCTGTGGGGCCCAAATGGTCACTTTTGTTGGAATCTGTTTGGTCCTCCTAGGAAGACAATCTCAGTCTGTCTGGGAGGTGGTTCAGCTTTAATTTTTTTTAGATTTATTTGTTTTAATTGCATGTATGTATGTGCACCACATATGTGCCTTATGGCCTCAGAGGTCAAAAGAAAGCATTGGATCTCCTGGAACGGGAGTTACTTGCAGTGGTGAGCCACCATATGTGGTTACCAAGAATCAAACATGGATCCTCTGCAGAAGCAGACAGTGCCCACAGCCACTGCACCACCTCTCAGGCCCATTGGTCCAGTTTAAACAATGGGCACAGGAGTCGGGGTTTTCATAAGACAGCAGCTTTCAGCTTCACGATTGTCTGTTCTGTCTTTACTTATTAAAATTCAGTCACATGTGGGTTGGCTAACACTTATCTGAATTTAGCATTTTTATATTCTGTTAGCCATGACTCTCTTAAGCAGATAGGCTTCAAGGTGGGTCATCCTAGTCACAAACAGACCACTGTCCTAGATGTTACTGCCTCTTGACCACTCCACTTGATGGGATTTTTCTGTATCATATTTGCTGGGGTTCAGGAATACAGTATCCTAAACCACCCCAACCTTGAGCCATCATCATCCCTGAAGTTCCAGTCATATTAGTGCCCTTCTCCCTGGTTCTTCTCATTTTGCTTCTCAACAGGGATGCTCCAGCATCCACAGACAGCATGAACTCTGCACACTTCCCCTGGAAATGTTTGCTGCTCCATCCACTCTGGCATATGCACTTCTCTGAGATTTTTGATCCCCACTCTTCTACAATCAGATTTAACCATCCTAGATTTTCTGTGTCCTGTAGTGTGGGCTAGCCTCTGACCAGGTCCAGGAAGCCATCCCTGGACCACTGCAGTATACAGGAGATCTGGTGTGTGTTGTTCTGGTTTCATTATGTTACTGTGATACGCACACTATCAAGAGCAACATAAGGGAGAAACTGATTTGTTTGACTCCTACTTTTAAGCCATAGTCTGTCACTGAGGGAGGTCAGGACAGGTACTCAGAGGCAGGCCCATGTGCTATTCCACACAGCATTATCTAGGACCAAGGATCTCACTTCATGGCCAGAGAGGCACAGCAGGAATCATGGAGGATGCTGTTTGGTGTCTGGATCACTAGCTCCTGCATAGCTAGATTTCTTATCCAGCCAGAGACCACCTGTCCCAGGAATAGTAATGTCCATAGTGGCTGCACATTTCTATATCACTAATAATAGAAACAGGCCCTCAGTAGACACTCCCTTCTCAGGTGACTCTAGGCTTTATCAAACTGGTAGTAGAATCTAACCAGCGAAGATGTTCAAGTCTATGATCTGAGAGAACAGATGAGTAAAAACGGTGTCCATGCAACTTCTGTTCCATCCTCACCATGCTCACTTTGCCCCACCAGCCTCAAGCACCATCCTGTCTCCACACAGTCTACATGAGCAGCTTCTGGAGATTCTCCAGGATGAACATATCCAGAGAAGATATACCAAATTTTCCTGTTGTAACTGACAGGGCCAATCCTTAGCAAGATGATGTGATAACAGATAAGAGAATTGTCCTGGTGGAGAGCAGGGGTGGGCCACTCCTTGACCTGGATCTTCACGCAGGAGAGAAAGGTTAAACTTTTTTTTTACCACAGTGGAAACTCAACCTGGAATTGATTGATTGATTGATTGATTGATTGATTTACTCACCTACTTGCTGTGGGACAATGTTCTGTACCATGTCAATTGTATTTTAATAAAACACTGATTGACCAGTAGCCAGGCAGGAATTGTAGGTGGGGCAACTAGGCAGGAAGTAGATGTGGGGCATTGAGAATTCTGGGAAGAGGGAAGTTTCAGTCTGCTGTCATGACCCAGTCGGAGAGAAAGCAAGATAGCAAGATGTGACTGCCTCGCCGAGAAAGATACCAAGCCACGTGGCTAACACAGACAAGAATTATGGGCTAATACAAGTTATAAGAGTTAATAAGAAACCTGAGATACTAGACCACTCAGTTTATAATTACTGTAGACCTCTGTGTGATTTCTTTGTGACTGAACGGCTGCCGGACCGGGCAGGACTGGGTGGGACAGAAACCTCGGTCAACACTTACTTATTTCTCTCTTTCTTTTTTTAAAGACTCCCTTCCAGAGGACTTCCTTGCTCCACAGACAGAGACTGTCTCTGCGTCCCTGCTCTGCATCCCTAACCTCATTGCATGTTTCCTTCACAGATACTGCTTTCCTTTGCTACAACTCCACTCTTAAAAAGCCAACGTCTGGACCATGGAGTCAGGAAGTCATAGGCCAACTGAACAAACAGTGTTTTATTTACTGTTACAGTACCAACACCAACTGCTATCCCAATGGTGTTCTAGGAAATAGATTGATTGCCACAAAGATCTGGGAAACACAGGTTGACACTCTGCGAGATTTATCTGACCTGTTCAAACAGCAAATGATTCACATGAAACAGGAGAATAATTCTATCAGAGGTAAGATCAAATGGCTCCATAGTGCTGGGGAGTTAGCTAAGTGGTAGAGTGCTTGCCTGGCATGCATGAGGTCCTAGGTTCAATCCCCACAGCTACAATTTAATAAAAGGATGTATTAGATGGCCCCTAAAGGAGAGAACAGGATTTGTGACAAGTTAGGGACATTCATTGTTTGCATGGAGGAAAAGAAGAGGTCCAGCACCAAAGCTAAAATGTGAAGGGTAGAGCAAGGTCAGAGGATGGGACGGGAGGGAAGGTACATAGACAGGATTCATCAAAGTCAGAGGCTGATCTCTTTCCAATGGGCACAGAGCCCCTCTCTCTGCAGGCCAGGATGTGTTGTTGGCAGGAAGTAGATGGACGTTTCAATGGATTCTGGGACTTTGTCCTCAATGGACACAAAATGGCACATGTTGACTCAAGCACTGGAGAGTGGATTGAAGTTGATCCTGGATCCAGGTGGATGAAGGAGATGTGGGAGAAAAACATGGATTTTACTGCCTTCTTAAAAATGACCTCACAGGGGGACTGTATGACATGGCTTGAGGAGTTCAAGTCACAATGGGAAGAAAAGCTGGAGCCTACAGGTAACTGAGAAGATGGGGTGGACACTTAGGCAGATAAAGTGTGGGGTGGGGCGTGTAATGATGTAATCACCATGAGTTCTTGTGCTGATGGCCATTTTTTTCCATTAATCCCTTCCTTTCTCACCTTCTCCTATCTTATTCATTGTGTTTACGTTGTTTACTCTCTGTGGTTCTCACTGGTTGTCAAAGTCTGTGTCTTTATTTCCTGGCTTTTTCTTCATTCTAGAATCACCGTTGCTTTTCATCTCACCTGATCTTTCTTCTTCCCTGTCACCATCCTCAAAGGTCACCCTCATGCCTGCTCTCCCGCCAGCAGGAAAGACAAGAACTCATCATTATTCTGCTCTTCCTAACATAGCTGCATAAGTCTTTTGAGGTCAGGGGACTCACTCACCTAAACAGTTATCCACAGCAACATGGGTGGAACTTTGTGTTGTTGAATTATTTGAGAATCCAGAAGCTACAGTGAGATTTTCTAAGATTTGAGGTTTGGTTAAAGACTCAACTTGTATTTCCCCTTCAGCCTCAACAACCACTACTCCAGATGTGGACCAGTCTTCATCCATGGCCAACGATCCTAAGATTGCTGTCTTGCTAATAATCCTTCCCTACGCCCTTCTTCTCTTCTATGTTTTCTGAAAAAAAATCCTTGGCAATGACAGGTACTATGTGTTGTATTGGGAGTGGGGTGAGGGACAGGAGGGTGAAAAGTGAAGAAGCAAGAGTGAATTACTGGAGTCCTATTGTTATTCCTCATCTTATTGAGCATCTTATTGAGATAGGAGGCAAGAGATCTGGAGTTCATGTCACCTGCTAGCAGTAGCTTGTGTATCCTGAACCTTGACAGGACAGGGATACTGTCATAGACCAGTGGGAAAGGAGGGGGGAACACAGGAGGTTCCTAATCAGGAGGGTTTCATCATGCAGATGAGGAGACAACAGGAACACAAAAGTACATGGTAGTCTCATTCAATATGTAGAGGGAATACATGATGTAGGAGGGTCATCTATGTGTTACTTTCATTGGTTAATAAAGAAACTGCCTTGGCTTTTGATAGGACAGCAGCTTAGATAGGGGGAGTAGACAGAACAGAATGCTAAGAAGAAGGGAAGTGAGGCAGATGCCATGATTCCCCTTCCCGAGATGGATGCAGGTTAGAATCTTCCCGGTAAGCCACAACTTCGTGGCAACATACAGATTTATTAGAAATGGATTAATCAAGATGTGAGAGTTAGTCAATAAGAGGTTAGAACTAATGGGTTAGGCAGTATTTAGATGAATACAGTTTCTGTGTAATTACTTCAGGTGTAAACTAGCCAGGGAGCTGGGAACCTGGCAGGAACGCAGCCCGCCGCTCCTTTTGCAATAGAGTGGCACCCAATGTGGTAACTAACTCCACATAAAACCTAAGAGGGCTTAAAAAGGAATTCTATACACAAACAGAGAGTTTAACACAGCTTTTTGCTGTTTGCTAGGACATGCCATAGAGAGATTTCCTGTTTCAGCAATAGTGGCAGAAAAAAAAAAGCCACACCATTTTAAAACACAGCTTCCTGGGCTGTGCCACCAGTGCAAACTCTGATTTTAAAGCATTTCAATGGTTTTGATGAGACTGGATGTTTGTGTGCCTGCTCAGGATCAGGAAGAAAGTACTCTTAGACCATGCCTATGGCTCAGCACTCCCCACCTGCACCTGGGCAGAAATGGGTTAATCAAGATGTGAGAGTTAGCGAATAAGAGGCTAGAACTAATGGGCCAGGCAGTGTTTAACTGAATACAGATTCCATATAATTATTTCAGGTGTAAACTAGCTGGGGAGTTGGGATCTGAGGGGGAATGCAGCCCGCCGTTCCTTTTACAACAGAATAAGATTCCACTCCACAGACAGAGATAAAGAAGATAAAAATAAAAAGATGGCCCAGTGACAAGACACCTGTTGCTCATGCATCAGACCCCAGTTCCATTCCCAGAACCCACAGGGTAGTCACAATCATACAGTTTCAGGTCTAGAGGACCCAGCCCCTTCTTCTTCACATACACCAGGCATTCACACAGAACACTTAAAGACTTTCAGGCTCACGTTCATACACATAAAATAGAAATAAATCAAGCAGCAACAACAGACTCCAGAACCAATGGAGCAGTGTCCCCACTGGAGACAAATGAGACAAAGCTGTTCCTGAAGTCTACAGCTCCCATCTGGGCTTATCAGATGAACAAGGTGGGGCAGGGACAGGCACACCCACAGGTGTGATGCCACTCTCAGATTCTGAGAGTTTTACAATGAAAGGGAAATGATGTCTGGAACCCCACTCATAGCCTGGAAAACCAGTACCCAGGGCCCTTTCTGGATAGAGGTCCTCCCTTCTCCTCCAGCCCCATTAGGCCCAGAGTGAGAAAGCAAAGCTATTCATCACCACTTTATTCTGATCTCCAGGTCTGCAACAGGGTCTGGGACTCTGGGACATGGGAAAGAAGGAGGAAGACAGTAGGGGATCCAGGATGGAGAGCCCAGGGGTGATGGAGGAGGGAACTGAATGACCCTCAGTGAGGGTGGCTGTGGGTGGTGATGACTAGTGCAGGGCACCCAGGAGAATTGACCCAGGCTCTCCTCAGACCCTTCAAAAGATGTGTTTCCTTGCTGCAGATTGAAGATGCTCCAGAAAAGTCACGAGAGTTCATCTGGTGTAGCCACTCTCCCTTTCATCAGCCTCCACCAGATGAATGCAGATGCTGCAGACACAGCATTTCATGGTCTTTCACACTGCACAGTCACTTGGGCCCTTGTACTGTTTCCTTGGTGTTCCCAGGAGGGATTTGCTCTTAAATGAAACTTGAACCAGAGATTTGGAAAAGAACATGGTTATGTACTCATCTCTAGCATAGGAAACAGGATGACCAGATCTTCTTAGTGGGAACGTGATATTTTCACTGTTGTGTATGTAACAGGCAATATTCAAACATCTCAAGTATCACTAAAGAAAACCTGCAACAACTAGTAATAGTAAATGAAAACTGAGGGCCAGTTGTTTAATAGAAATCATTGATAAATGTAACAGGGTCACATATCTTAGCACAACTGACTCCATGATAAAAGTGCCATTCACGCTGTAAAACTCAGCACATAGACAAAACTACCTGCCAAACCTAAAACAAAGGCCTAATCCATCCGAGTTCATAGTTGAGGGACAGTCTCTGAATGTACTGACCTTGCTTTCTGGCTTCTGTACTCGCACTCCTGGCTAACCATTCTTGACGAAAGCATGTCCACCCAGAACAGGGTGTGTGTGTGTGTGTGTGTGTGTGTGTGTGTGTGTGTGTGTGTGCATAAAAGCTCTACCTGAGAAATGCTTGGTGCTACACTGGGTCCCAAATACACAGTGTGGTTGCTGATCAGCTAATAAAGAGTTTCTATTAACTTAAATCCATATCTGAACAATCTTCTCTGGTGAAAACCCCACAACATTTCTGGAAGTCTGACCAAGATCCTAGAGCCAGACCTAAAGACACCAGAGACCTCGGGAACAGAGAAGACTGTGGTGGTCAAAGAGCTCCAAGAGCAGTGGCCCTCAACTAATGGGTCTCATCCCTTTGAGGGCTCAAGGGGCTTTTCAAAGTGATCATAGGCCACAAGACAGATATCTTGTATCTCAGATATTTATACTATGATTCATAACACTAGCAGAATTAAAGACACGAAGGAACAACAAAAATAATTTTATGGGTCACCACAATATGAGAAACTATGTTAAAGGATAACATTATAAGGAAGGTTGACATCCACTGACCTAGGGGCTGTGTGTCACCTGGGTTCCAGGTCTACAGGGTTCTCTTTGATAAACTGGTGCCTAAGGCTTCAGAGGAGTCTGAAGTCTGCACTGCAAGAGGTAACAAATCAGAAACTCACCTGGTCTTTCAGGTCCAGAGGGAAGTGTGGTTAAGGCCCCTTCTCTTTTTACACAGAGTAGAGGTCTGACAAGGCCACTGATCCAGTGCTGGGAACCTTGTGGGATGTCACTGGATTCCCCATCTTTTCATGTGAATGAATATGTGGTAGTCACCATTGCTTGTCTTAACTGTGTGTGTGTGTGTGTGTGTGTGTGTGTGTGTGTGTGTATTGTGTACATCTGTGTGTCTGTGTATCTGTGTATCTTTCAATTCTATTTCCCTACATTGACTAGTGGCTTACTCTAGTATGTGAACACCTGATTTAAGAATTGTGCCCGTCTTGTTGGGGACCTGAATCTTTTTTGGTTCAATTAAGTCACCCAGAGAGACAAAAACAAATGAAACAACAAAAAGAAGAACCATCCACCTGTCCCATTCCATGAGTGGGTCACATGCTTAGTTCATTGCATGACTCTTGCTCATGGTCAGGGTTGGTCTCTGTGTGGAGGTCAGGAGAGGCCAAGCTTCCCATTCAGACCCCTCTGCCATCTAGTGCAATGCGCACAAGAAGGGGACTTAGTTTCCCAGGTGAGCATTCCCTCAAGTCCACTTCTGCACCCCTGCTTTAAATGCTTGGGACAGGATTCAGGAACTAGGAAAGAAGTTTGAGTAATATATTAGGGTTAAACAGGGCTAGATAGAACCCTTTAGTGACTTCTTGCAAAAATTAAGTAAGGCTTTACAAGTAGGAGTGACAGACCCTGAAGCTAGATGTGTATTTATTGAATCTTTGGCTTTTTAAAATGCCAACTTAGAATGTAAGAAGGTCCTTGGACCTTTAAAGGTCCGATCAGTACCCATAGATGAATGGATCTTGTATACAATGAATGTTGAAACATTTGACTATAGTACTGAGGCTTGGATAGGAGAAATGATTTCCAAAATCATTGGAAATTTGGAGACACCAAAATTCCAATGATTTGAATTGTGGTAGAATAGGACATCTAAGAAGGGACTAAGAAGACAAGGAATTCCTAGGAATTATATCTCCTCTAGGGATGGCAAGAATAGAAGGACTCAGCTTTCCTGTATGTGTAGGAGGTGTGGCAAAAGCAGACATTGGACTAATGAATGTAGGTTGGCAAAAGACAGACAAGACAACCAGATACTACCAGGAAACTCCTTGGGGAGGTCTCTCACAGGTTCCCATATCAATCAAGGTCTAGCCATTCTTAGTCACTGTGGAAAACATGTCTCACCAGAAAAATTAAACAATCCAGTGTCTACTTTAAAATAATATACTGGTCTGGATGATGGAATTGACATGGAAGATGAGTAAAAACTCCAGTAGGAATAGTAAATGTATATTTTGTCATACTTCTGTAAATGACCAAAGACCAAAGCTGAGAGCACACATAAATGGCATTGTAATTGAGGGATTAATAGACACGGGTGCAGATGTATCAGTACTCTGAAATCTTGGTTTCCAAATTGACCTCTTCAAGAGGCAGATATTCAATTACTAGGAATTTGAACCTTATTTCAAGTGAAACAAGGGGAGTTGAACGCATTGTGCCAGAAGGACAGAAAGGAAGGCTAGGGCCATATATAGCTAATAGTGCAGTGAATAAAAAAGGGGGGAGGAGTGCTGTGGGACTTATAGCCTGTAAAATTTTGTCAATTGTTCTGTTTTAATAAAAAGTTGATTGGCCGATAGCCAGGCAGTAATTAAGGGCAGAATGACAGAATAGGAAAATTCTGAGAAGAGGGAAGGGTCAGTCTACAATCGTCACCCATGCACAGAAGAAGCAAAATGAGAATACCTTGCTGATAAAAGGTACCAAGCCACATGGCTAACATAGACAAGAATAATGGGTTAATGTACAATGTAAGACTTAGTTAATAGAAATTCTGAGCTAATAAGTCAACCAGTTTATGATTATTGCAGATCTCTGTGTGCTTCCTTGGGTCTGAACGGTGGTGGGAACCAGGCAGAACAGAAACTTCTGTCAACAAAAGGTGTTGCTGGGGATTGGGTAGAAGGTGTAGCCAGGGAAGGAGAGATGGGAGAAGGAGACTAAGGCAGTGGGGGCTGTGATGGAGTAAAGATTTGAGAGGCAGGAGAGAGATGAGGGTGAGGACCACAAAGATACAGAAAAAGTGAAGAAAGGGATGGGATGAAGTAAAAAAACAGGCCTATAGGCAGTGCTACACTCCACCCAAGATCAAGATGGGTGAGCATTGTTTGGAGGAAAGAATAAGGCATTGGGGTCTAGGGGTTGTATGGTCAAGATAGATGGGTAAAGGAGGGGAACAGTAAGTGAGAGTTTGCCAGCAGAACAGAGAGGGCCCTAAAGCTGGGGCTGAAAAGAAGGAAAGAACCTGTCAGGAGCCGTAAACATTAGTGGTAGGACAGGACAGAGTGGAGGGAGAGGGGTAGTAGTGAAGAGAGTGGAAGGTGAGACCAAGCAAGCTTGGGGACTTGGGACAGTGACTGAAGAATGTGAAGAAACCCCACAAATTTTCCTTGATATTTCCTCTCTGACTGCAGGCAAGTGACTGTGGCATGGGCCAATAGCACCAAACTTTTTCCTTGACTTTCTTCCCTGGTTCAGCTACCTAGTGTTTTAGACAGTGCAGCCAGTTTGTGTGAGAAGGGACCACATGAAGTTGGAGGCCTGGGTAACCAGAGCCACAGAGCCCAGGCTGCTCAGCTTCTGCCTGAGTGCCAAGGCCTCTCAGGAAGAGGACCCAAGCCCCTGGAGCCTCTCCTGGAAGCTGATGTAACCACACAACCTCTAAGAAAAAAGTGAAGGGTGTGACAGACAAACCCCAAACTGCCTGAGGTCACAGCCTGATTCTGAAATTTTCATGAATGTCATCAGCAGGAAGCTGGCATCTATTACAGTGCCCTTCACATCTGAGGCTGGGTTTAGAGAAGGAAACCCATGGCCTAGGCCACAGTGACCAAGCTCAATACTGCACCCTGACTCTTTTCTCATTTTACGGGAGGCCAATCCATGAGTTTGAGGGAATCAACTGTAGTGGTGGGAGCGGTGGGCTGCGGCCCTGTTCCCAGCTAGCTTTACCCGAAATAGTTACACAGAAACTGTGTTCTTTTAAACACTGCCTGGCCCATTGTCTGTAGCCTCTTATTGGCTAACTCTCGCATATTGATTCAACCCATTTCTAATAATCTGTATCTCACCACGAGGTGGTGGCTTACTGGGAAATATTCAGCATGTCTGACCTGGTGGCTAGCTGCATGGCATCTGCCCTACTGCCTTCTTCCTCCCAGCATTCTGTTCTGTCTACTCCACCTATCTAAGCTGCTGTCCTATCAAAAGCCAAGGCAGTTTCTTTATTAACCAATGAAAGTAACACATAGACAGAAGACCCTCCTCCATCAATCAACAATAGAGTGTGAGGGGCACAAGGCCATAGCATCAAGGAGGAAGGATGCTCCTAGCTGAACTGATGATCTTTGACCTCCAACCTCAGACCCCCATCCACATCAGGCTTCTTCTGGATAACTGTACAGTACAAACCATGGGATTTGTTCCCTACCTCAACCCACACACTTTCTCTCCAAGGCTTTCAGAAAAGCTGAAAATTTTCAAAAAAAAATACTACAACAAGATGGTGAGCCTAGAATAGAAGAAACTGAAGTTCATTGTGGTTCACCAGAAGTCATTGAATCTCTAAAACCAAAGTTGCTCCAAGAGACAGGAGTCACACCACCCCAGTTCTCTCTTCATTTCTTTATTTATCTTCCCCTCCTAATTTTTTCCCTTCCTGTATAAGCTGGGTTGCCAGCTTGCACCAGTTCTCTTCATCAGCCTTCTCAGAGCTAAGGGCAGAGGTCACCACACACAGCTTCACTGACTACCTCATTTACTACCAGCACTGAGTTCACAGTCCTTATATGCCCTTCCCCGACCCTCTCACCCAGAAAGGTGATTTATTCCCTCCTCAACCAGTACTACATGCTCCTGCCTGAGGATGCACCCTAGAAAATCCATCTGCTCTCACCCATAGATCCTAAAGCAGGGGATACCAAGCAAAATTTAAATCTCATAGGATCTGCCACTTGTTCTAAGTGAGGCATAAGGAAACCTCTGTTCTGGCCTCTCAGTCTCCCCTAGACTAACTCCTAGGGAGACAGGAGCAGATAATTGTGTTCATTTCAGCAGACATTGCATAGCTTTTACTTAAGGGCCACATAATATTTACAATTTGGCAAGCTACTCCCTACCTGGCTCTACATCAAACACTCTATCCCAGCTTCAGTGTGAAAGCAGCTCAAGAGATTAGTGGACAACAGGAGACCAAGTTTGGCCTATGTACTCATTTTATGACCCCAGATTAGGTAGCATCCTGTATCCCAGTATTGGTACCCATTCCCCTGAGCACTCTCTCCAAGTGATGCCAAAGCTGTGTGCTAAACAACCAGGAATGGTCCTGTGCTGCTGTGCCTCCTGGGTCAGCTGGATAGGATATGGGAGCTCCTGGTGTTTGTGCCCATTGTGCTCTGCAGTCCTGGGAATGAGGATGCTCCTGAGTCAGAAATGCTTGCTAATGGAACCCCATTCACTTTGTCTAGAATTAGATTTCCACAACCATCTAGGGAAAGTAAATTTTTGTCCTTTTCTCTCTCTGCTAGGCATCTCTCAACACACATGACCACTATTGTCCCCTCTGAATGTGCCTCGCTTCTGGACATCTTGTCTGACTGTGATCTGTCCTTATAAAAACCTAGTGGGAAAGAACTCACATCATGACATCTGCCTGAGAGCTGATGGACCTTCTGAAATCCCAGGACCACAGACTGCTTTCTCCCAGGGCCCAGGTTCATGCCAGGAGACACAATAACATAAAGTGTATTTTCTCTGCTTTAGGTGAATCAGTCTGGCTTATGCCCAAGCAAGGTGATTCTCCAATTAGGCACTACCATAAATTCCACCCAGGGCTATTTCCTAGAAATGATACCTCAAACTGACAGATTGTCCTGGGTACAAAGGAGAAGCAGAGAACTCAGTACTTCTGAATCCAGCAGGCTGGATGCCTCAGCAGTGACAATATGACAGTGAAAGCTGGAGCTACTGGCATGGATCCATGACTTTGTCACTATGAACACCTGTGGTGGTGGCAGTAATAGAAACACTTCCCCTTTGTGGTGAGCTGGGCTGGGTC